GGAGCTTTTTAAAAATTTAAGCTTAAAAAGCAGCCATTTGAGGGATACCCAAAGGGAAAAAATGTCATTTCTAAGGTATGTACAATGTATCCTTGATTTAGTAATTTTTATATTTTTGCAGCTTGGAATCTTCACAAAATACAGAAGATACTCCAAATCAGACACAACCAAGAACAGACTCTGAGATAAATTAAATGTTAAACATAGCATCTGGTGTCCAAAGTTGTAATACTCTACATGCAAAAAAAGTAACTATGAATAATATAAGAAATACGTCTGTTTTGCCTGCTAATAGTGTCTCATTATGAGGCACTTTTAATCTCCTTTGTGCCATTTCTGTTCTGCAAACCTGGGCCGGCATTTGACGTGATTCAACACGTAGCTTTGTTGTTATTGCCAAGCTTTGATGCTGATATGATTACAGGCACACCCAGTATGTTGACATAGATCGCACAGTAGCTAAGAGCATGAGATCGGCATGGCACCAGCACTGACGCATATGTGGCAGGAAAACCCACGTGTGTCACAAAGATCAGAAACGCCGATAAAGAAAAACGGCAAAAAAAGAGAGCAATAATTTGTATTTACTTGTTTAAACTATGAACGGTTCCAAGGGGTGAACTCCCTTGTTTAGTTTACTAAAGTGGCAAATTTTCAACCAACGCAAGTTTGCCGCTGTGGGCTTTAGAGGCCCTTCCCCATTTCGGACGGGCGGCCAACTGTAAGGCACTTTAATTATTAGGCTGGTGACTTAGTAACTCTTTGTATTTTTTCACCTTGGCAAGATATAGAATTAATGCAATTTAGTGGAAGGTGTTTATGTCCAGAGTTACAAGGAGAGATCTGTTGAACAGGGGAGGAAACATATTTGTGCTACATACATCGTGGCGTGGGAATTGTTAAATAGACTTACTTACTTACTTAGACTTAGGAGCTCCCGTGTCGTCCGACACATGAGGCAATCAGAGCAGTCCAGCAGGTTCGGTCAGCGGCCAGTCTCCCTACATCCTTCCAGTTCAGATTTATGTTTTGCAGGTCCCTCTCAATTGTTTGTCTATAGTTCATTTTGGGGCGACCTCTGCGTCTTTTACCCTGTGGGGCCCAGTTCAAGACTTGTTTTGCTAGTCTATCTGATGGAAGTCTCGTAGCATGGCCTAGCCAGCTCAAGCGTCGCTTGCAGATGATGGAAGACAATGGTTGTTGGTTAGCTCTGGCTCTTACATCCGTGTTGGGTATAAAGTCATCCCATCTAATGCCTAAGATCTTCCTGATGCATTTGCTGTCAAAGGTGTCTAGTCTCTTTTCTTGGCTGATTTTCATATGCCAGGTTTCACAACCATATAAGAGTGTAGAGAGAACGTTACTGTTGTAGAACCTCATCTTTGTCTTCGTGGAGAGCTTCTTACTCCTCCAGATCTTACCAAGCTGGTTGAAGGCAGCTGAGGCTTTTCCAAGTCTACAATCTAACTCTTTATCCATCTCCCCTTGGTTGTTGATGGAGCTCCCAAGATAGGTGAAGTTCTCTACTACTTCCACTTCGTTGTTGTCGATGGTCACACTTACAGGTGAAGGGTGTGTCCCTATCAGCATGTTCTTTGTTTTTTTGGCACTAAGGCCACACCAATTTAATTTCTTGGTTAACGGATTCGCCGCTTCATTTTTTTCTGATTTGCAAATAAAAATAAAAATTCAGAATCAACTGCAAAATGCTCATATTTTGCCGTGAACAGTTGAAAACAGTCCTTTTCATACTTCTTGTTAAAGTCATTCCATCTTTCAATGCAGTGGTATCATTAAAAGTTCAAAATTCATTGTCAAAATTTTGAACCACCCTGGTGTGTTGACTTCATGGCTCCTATCGTACCATTTTGGGCCATAATAGGATGCCTAGGCCTGTTTTTATTTTTATTTATTTTTCGCCCGCCCGCTCCATTATTTTTGTAGAAAAATCCGTTAACCAAGAAATTAAATTGGTGTAGCCTAATGCTGAGCCCAATGCTGCCCGCCGACGAGCCTATGTTGTTCACCAGGGGTTGGAGATCTCGGGTGTTGTCCGCAAGTGCAGCAATATCGTCTGCAAAGTCAAGGTCGGCAAGTTTTGTCCCTTGAACCCACTGTATCCCTCTCTCTTCTGTTGCTTCCCTGAGTACCCAGTCGATAGCCATGGAGAAGAGGATCGGTGACAGGACACAACCCTGGCGGACTCCACTCACAACTTCGAACCATCCGCTGTATCCCTCACCTGTCCGTACACAACACCTTGAGTTTTGGTATATCTGTTTTATTGCATGGATGAGTTTACTTGGTAGTCCATAGCTATACATAATATTCCATAAAGAAGGGATGCTGTCAAATGCCTTGGAGAAATCAATGAAGCTGATGGCTAAGGGGGTTTGGAGTTCGGCACATTTCTCAATGATCCGACGCAGGGTGAAGATCTGCTCAGCACAGGATCTCTTTGGGCGAAACCCAGCCTGTTGCTCCCGGAGAACCTTGTCCACTGCATCTCTCATGCGGTTTAGGAGGCATGTGGCATACACCTTCCCTGGTATAGAAAGAAGTGTCACTCCCCTCCAGTTATCGCATTCAGTCAGGTTTCCCTTCTTTGGGATGCACACAACTGACCCATTCCTCCAGTCCTCTGGCACTTCCCCTGTGTTCCAGGCCTGGTTGCAGAGCTGGGACATCCATCTGACAGCACAGTCACCCCCAGCTTTCAGCATCTCTGCTGTGATGCCATCCATGCCTGGTGACTTGTTGTTCTTCAGGGTCCTGATGGCTTCCCGGACTTCAACTTCGGAAATGTCCTCGGTCTTAACAGGTAGTGGATGTATGGGCTCATCGAAGACTGTTGCTATTGAGGTAGGGCTTGGGCGGTTGAGGACTTCCTTAAAGCCCATCTGGCAAGCTTGTCCTCCCCCTTAGACAGTAGGGTTCCGTCCTTCGCCTTTATTGGGCCTGAGTGCGTCTTTGAGCCACCGGTGATCTTCTTGGCAATCTGGTAGACAGTTCGCATGTCGTTCCGAGCCGCAGCTCTTTCTGCTTCGTCTGCCTTGTTTTCCATCCATGCTCGTCTGTCCCTTTGAGCACTGCGCTTCACCTCTCTGTCCTTCTCCGTATATTCGTGGTAGACAGCAGTGTTGTCAGATTTGTTCCTCTTCTGATGGAGGGTTTTCCTTTCGCTGATAAGTTTCCATGTATGATCACTAATCCATGCTTCACGGAGGGATTTCTTGTAACCCAGAACTTCTCTCCCCGCTGAGGATCGCTTCCTTCAGTTCTTCCCACCATACCTCTGACCCTCAGGCTTTTAGCTAGGGGGTGTCCAGGGTGTCTTTTGGACGCCCTGTACTGAAAATACTAAGAAATTGGACGCCCTACTTTTTGGTAGGACACCCTAAAGACGCCCTGTTTTTCTCCACTCCCAACCCCTGCCATGCACACATACCTCCCTTCAGCCTTACTATAAATACAAAAATGATGGTTTACTGAAGGAAAAAAAATCAAATTCCTCAAAATTTGTAACTCAAAATGCAAAAAGTAGTGTTTGAGAGCATTTTGACTTTCAAAAAAAGCCCCCTAAAAAGCTTGTGCACCGTGCATCTTTGCTGAGCATAGCATACAATGCAAAAAATGGACGCCCAACAAAAAAATCCTAGCTAAAAGCCTGCTGACCCTGGAGGCGGGTCTGCTAAGGCAGAGAACTTATTCCGCAGGGACATCTCAAACTGATCTCTTACAGCAGGATCGTTGAGCTTACTGGTGTCGAACCTCTTCGGTAGTGATGCCTTCTTCTTTTGTCTTTTCAGCTTGATCTTCAACTTTGCGATGGAGGGGTAGTGGTTACTGCCAACATCCGGTCCTCTGTAGACACGGACATCATGTAGGCACTTGGTCCTCCATCTTGGCCCAATGGCTATATGGTCGATCTGTGTCCTTGTTTTGTGGTCGTTTGACAGCCATGTTACTTTATATATGTCTTTGTGCTTAAAAAGTGACGAGCCAATTCTCATATTATTCAGTGCACAGAACTGTATGTACCTATCCCCGTTGTTGGAGCGATTACCAAAAGCATGCGGACCTAATGTGTGTTCAAATCCCTGTCTACCTCCCCCAATTTGTGCGTTCATATCTCCCATGACAAGGAGGATGTCATGGCGAGGGGTCTTGTCAACTACATCCTGGAGCTGATGATAGAATGCGTCTTTATCCACATCCTCTCGTTCATTTGTTGGGGCGTAGCACTGTATTACTGTGACCTTTGCATGGTTAGTTATGAACCTTGCCGTTAGGAGACGTTCGTTGATGGGTGACCACTCCTCCAGAGCACAGCTGGCTGGCTTGTCCAGGATGAGGGCTACACCATCTCGGTGAATTCCATCTTGCCGGCCCGAGAATAGCACGGTCTTGTCATCTGACATGAACTTGCCTGAATCTGTCCAGCGTACTTCACTAAGGCCTAAGATGTCAATGTTGTTGTCATCCATTTCCTTGATGACTTGCGCTAGTTTGGATGCTTGGTAAAGAGTTCTTACATTCCAGTATCCGATACGGGTGATGGATTTTGCAGACAGGACTCTCGTCTTCAGGTCACCAGCTTCCTCAGTGAGGCTTTCCCTGGTGTCCGTCCTTCTGCCTCTATCTGGAGGCGACTGTTGTCCTGGCTGCTTTCGAACTACTTTCATTCTGATTGTTTTCGTAGCGGTTTCTTTTTACAGGAACAGGGTGCTGACCTGAAGCCAAACCTCCTCATTTATAATTTATATCCCGCTGACAGGGAAGCGGCGTTGTGTCCATCCTTTAGCGACTACCCGATCTCCACCCCCTCATTAGAGGTTACAGAGTAGGAATGTTGTACCTACCCCAGGACTAGGAAACCAGTCCACCACGACAAGGCGGATGGACCGGGAGCCAAGATGTTTGGGCATCCCAGTGAGGGAATTGTTAAATAGGCCAGCCTATATATGGCGTCCCAGAGGGAAAGCCGACACTGTGAAGGGGGCGGGACATCCCTTCTACAGACTGGGCTAGACACCCTGACGCCAGTGTCTGGGCGTCAAGAGACTGCCGCTGTCACTCACAGAAGGGCGGCAACACAAGTTGTAAAGAGCCAAGGCCCTGCCTAGGCCCGCCCCCCCTTTCTCCTGGGAGGGCCGCCATGTGCGTTACTTCGCTAAAAAAAACATTTTTCACATTTGATATGGCATTCTTGAACAAAGAAATGCAGTCACAATGCCGCTACGTTGTATTGAAAATTAGCGTAGCGGGAGAAAATTGGCGTAGCGGGTCAAAATTTTAGCGTCGTGGGCCCCGACGCTACTTAGCGCTAGCTAGAACCCTGCACCACTTCCAAATGACTCATTTGGGTGACTTAAATGGCTATTTTCAGCAAAAAAAGGGCCAAAAGTGCTATAGCCGTTCCATGTTCTATCTGAAGAATGGCCCGTTCTATCTGCTGTTGGCCATGGAACACATGTTCCATTGTGGGTTACATTGCACGTAAGTCGTGCGTAATGACCCACACATTCAATTTTATGTGCCTAAGATCTTCAAAATGTATCAAATAACATCATTGTTAGTATTAATTTTGCATACCTGTAATAAGATTAGTAAAGCTTTCGAGATTCAATGTGCTTGTTCTTTCATCTTTGTTCTCAATTACATAGCTACTATATAATTCATTTATTTGAGAACCTTTGCCAGTTTTACACTGGGGTAAGTTTGGAATAGTCCAATTTTGCGTGGGAGGGAGATGGACTGAAATATGCTGTATTTGCTCCCAAGCAAATGTCGGCCTCTCTAGTTTAAAATGAGTTTGCTCTGTGCAAGGCCACATGGACCGCTTATGAGCATCTCATATATATTGATGTACATGACATTGTACATAATGCAATTACAAAACTCAGAATTGACTGTCACAAACTAAGTATAGAAGCCGGGAGATAAAAAAATTAAAT